GATCATGACCTGAGCTGAAGTTGGATGCTTAACAAATGAGCCACCCAGGTTCCCCAAAATACATAAATAAACTTTAAAAAAGTGTTTTTTTTTTTAATTTCCTAGGAAAAAACAGCTAATGTGTAAATCACCACTCAAAGGAAAATTTTGTCATTGTTACTTTTCAGAACTCTACCAAGAACTGTTTTCCACTTTGAGAAATTATATTCCCATTGTCAAAATCACTCAAAGTTTTTGAATCAAAGTATTTGCATTAGTCTGCAGTTGAGATAGTCACATACATGCTAATTCTACCAATAAATGAAGCATGTATCTACTAAATTAGGTGTTCTAGTTACATCCAATCCTCAACTATATGAAAATACACACTAGAATACATTACAAAACATTTTCCTTGTATTATTGTTAGATTATGCTGTTTTTGAAATTATATACAGAAAATTACATATTATTTTGTTTCAGCATAAAAATGTCATCATGAATTATATCCTATAAAAGGGGTCATTAGGTCTAATATGGTTGAAAAGTACTAACTACTTCTACCTGACTTAGCCTTTATGAATCTCAATTTCTTTCTATAAAATGGGGGTAATGAATGGTCTTAGCAGATATTTTTGAAAATTAAGTAAAATATCATCCTATAGCAGCTGGTACAGTAACAGACACTTAAGTGTTTGATGTACAGTAGGCATTAATATTATGTCCTTATTTCATGAGTTATTTTTGAAGTTAGGACCTATGTTTATTACTATGTTTATTCTTCACATGGTTTCTACCATGCATCTAACACTAAAAAATATTCATTAAAGATATGCAAAGTTTTGCCAAAACAAATTGTTCTCTATTATAATTGAAAGTGCTGGGAGCCACACTGGCCTCACTGACATTCACAGTGAGAAAATGGCAGTGTTTGCACAGCTCCTGCCTTGAGAAATGAAAACTGGTATCTCCTGCTACTACTGGCTCATGTTGGAAATGAGCCTGCTGGTATTGACTAGGCCTCACAATATTCCAAGTCAGACCGATATTCCCCACAAAGATACCTCATGAGGAAAAGCATATTCCTGTCTCTTCAAAAGAGATTTTAGATGAAAGCTCTGTGGATGATTGTCAAAAGGCTCCTCCTATGGGCCTTGTAGATCCAAGACTTAAATAATAAAGGGGGTTAAGAACATAAGAGTTACAATTGAGCCTGGCCCTGAGACAAAGAGTGTAATTTAGAGTTTAGAAACAGATAAGGACGGAACTTAAGTTAATACTTAGACCTTTTCTAACTGGTGATGTATGGCAGTCCCCTCCCTAAGGCCTACTTTCCACAAACACCCTCCTTTACACTGGTGGCTCGGATGAGGATGGATAAGAGTAGCTAATACATAACCCCAAAACAAAGGCTAAGACATTTAGGGCCTCCATGGTGTTTACACACTCAGAATCAAGTCAAAAAAGTTTCCACAAACAACTTATTAACCAGCTCAAAAACATTCGTCCTCTTGTGAGCCAGACCAAATGACTCCTAGCCTATCTATATACAACTTAACCTATTTCCTAATCCTAACCTATGTCCTAATTATTAACTTAGAACAAATAGTATGTCATCCTGTTTTTCACTAAGAACATCCTGCATCCTGTTATTTCTGTAGTTGTAAGATTTACTCAACTTCACTATGAATGAGGTAATTCTGCAAGAATATTTCTGAAAAACCTGCTTTTGTACACTTTTCAAAGCATCTTATCAGAGTTTCTATTGCAAAAATTCTTTTTTCTGATCTCACGTTATCGTTTGACTTATAAATAAAGACACCAAAACCGACAGTGCAGAGATGCCTGCCTGGTGGTCAGAAAGGATCTCGGGGCGCTCTCTCTCTCTCTCTCTGACACCATCCTTCCTTCAGGGACCCCTGGATTGGCTGGAGCAGGTCTCCAGCATGAAGGAAAAACAATGTCATCATTCTCAGATAGGTTTTATCAAAGGAATTCTCCAATTTGGTAACTATTTTACTATTACAATGTGGTAGAAATAACGGGGAAGTAAGAGGAATTAATCAATGATACTTTATCTACTGCAGCTAACAAACCACTTTCAATCACCAAGAATAGTCGGAATAGACGACAGCACAGGGGTCTCCTCTCTACTCAGAATTTCAGAGAGAACACACCTGAAATTACAGTAGTGAGGATATAGAGAAATCTTTAGCATTTTATCCAAAATTTGTATTAAAAATAGCTCAGATTTTAACTTCTTTGCTATCACAAAAGAAAAAAAAATCAATGTAAGAAAAAAAACCCAGCTCCCAACCCATTTGCGTCACTCTTAGAAAAACAAAACTTAGAATATCAGTAAAAATAATTATCATCGCCATAAACTTAAAAAGCAAAATGTTACAAAGGCAGAAACAAATCATTTTTTCACCTTTTGATAAAATAAATCCCAAAGTTCACGAATGTCCTAGGACACAGACATCTAATATAATTTTTACCTGCAAATAACAGGCATAATAAATAGCAAATTCTGGGTAATAAATACTGTTAGATATTTCTAGAATCTGTTACCTCACAAGAACAAAACATCCTGTCTTATTTTTATGAATAAACTTTTGAGGTACTAGTCTTTGTTATAAATTTAAGGTAAGGATTTTTAGCTTATGATATATATACAACACACACAAATAATCCATATAAAACAGTAATAACACATGTGTATACATATATACACATACATATATAACATTTCCTTTTTCTTGTACATAATTTATAAATACGTATACATTTTGTGTTTCTATGCATGTATGTGTGTACATATATGCCAATTGGAGAGACAACACTGTAATATCTTTCTTTTCAAATTCCCATTAGAAATAGTTTCCCTGTTTTGTACCAGATGTAAGTACACCTTCTAACTGATTGCTCACATTTCCATTGTTTTCTCCATTAATTTGGTTTGTATTTTTTATTACAGCATCAGGAGTTCAACATTCCCTCACCCCATAAACCTATATGCTCATTCACCCATGTAGCAGTTATTTATCGAGTACCTTTAAATCTACAGACACACTGGAGATTTAGTGAGGTTAATTCACCCAACCATACTCTTCCTATCTTAATGTCAAAATGAATTGCATGTGACATAATGGATTCAGAACAAATATAATCAGTGGTGTGCCCCTATTCTTGTGATTTTGCTGAAAAGAATTTTAAAATTTCTGCATTTCTCATTCTTTATTTCCATTTTTTAATTAAGTAAACCTTTAAAATTAGAATAATTATAGATTCAGAGAAAAGTTGCAAAGAGAATAGAGTGTTCTGCATGTCCCCCAGACACATTCCTCTATTATTAACATCTTACACTACTAACACTGGTTCTATTTTTTTTTTCTCATAAAGACATGCCAGTTCCTATTTTATCTTTCCCAAAAAATATTGGGAAATATTTTAAAGAATTTTTAAAGAATATTTAAAAATAAACAATTTTTATTTGCTATTATGGTTCAGGTTTAAGCTGTTAGAAACTTACATTTTTATCTCTGCAGAGTCAATTCTGGTAGGATTACTGTTGCAAATGCTGGAAATGGCAGGAGGATTTTGCAATGCATATAAAACCAGAGATTTAGTTCAAGATAGTGTGGCAGAGAATCATCACAGATGGATGCTTGGCATCTCTGAACATCCTCTTTCCATTTTGATTACATTCCTCCTTCATGTTCTTCATCTTCTCAAGAAAGACTGAAGCCAGATAACTCACATTCCTAGATTCCACTGTAGCTATGGCCCAAATATTTGACCCACATTCAAGCAAGATCTGAACTTGAAATTGAACAAAGTGAAACAGGAGCTCTATTCTGAGAATTTGCTCTTTTGGAAACAGTGCTGGAGGCTTTAATATTTTGAGGCAGAGTTTCTTGTATTCAGTTATGAGTAGCAAAAGTACTGATCAAAGATGGCAATGTTGTTTTCTTCAAAGAAATCCTATGTTATAAGTGGACATTGTTTCTCTACAATAGCTTCAAATGCACTTGACGTCTCCAAAAGTCTTGTGCGACCGAATAATGTATGAAATAATTTTTTTCTTCATAAACCAGAGTGAACTCTGTTGTTTCCAACTAAGAATATTAAGTAATGTAGTAATTTTTAAACAATGAAGGGAGCTTCAATAACAGAACTTATGTGGAACTGACCATGGAGGAGATGCTAGAGACAGACAGCGAAGATTTAATGGCCTCAGTCTGTAATGACAATTCATTTTGAAATGCAATAACAAAGCAGCTGGTCAAACTGTTGGCTGCTATACCTTGGGACTCTGACCACATGGCAAACAAAGCTTTTTTTATTATGTGAATGGTAGGAATAGAATTTGTAACGTTGCCATGTGCTTATTAAGTGTTGCTGCTTTCAAACATGCACTGAAGTGGAGATGCACTCAAACTAAAACTAGGCAGTCTGTAAGCAGACATATAAGAAAGCATGGCGATGCCCAAAGGGCTCCCTGTACTTGTGTCCTGCAATATAAATTGAGGGTATCATAATTTGGAACCCTGCAACGTTGAGAAAAGCCAGCTGCTTCTGTGCATAAAAATGTAGTGCATATTTAACAAGCAGGGGTCTCTAAGCACAACTTCAAAAAGAAATAAAATTGTTGTCTCTGGGCTTTTCAAACACTCCTTCAGGAAGACTCTGAGTGAGATTGAAGGGAATTTAGTGTCAAAGCTGAGATTCATGGTATTGCATTCTCACCTTTTCATACTTACTATTGTGCAGAGAGTGAGGCAGCAGCTATCAGGTTAAGAGAAAGGAATTAGAGCAGAGGAGCCAATAGTGAAGAGTTAAAATTATCAGGCCATTTGGCTACTCCTAAAATTAATTGTCTTGAAGCCCATCTTCTTGGAATCCTGGTAAGTATTTTCCAGGCAACAGTATTACCAAATATGCCTCAGGCTGGCTATAGTTGTATTTAAAGAAAATGCCTTAGTCTTCATATCATCATCATGATCATCATGATGATTATCATCAACATCTAGTGCTTCACTGATTTATATGTCATCCTCATGCAAGAACCCTGCTAATCTTTTCTGCATTGTTCTGATTTTAGTATATATGTTCTACCAAAATGAGATCCTTTTAGTTATTTTTAGAAGCTGCTTTCATTTGCTTTAAACTTTCCACAGTAGCTATTTAGAGTATAGGCATTGACAAATTGGACAAGGAAGGTGTCCCCAGATGTAGAATCAAGGACCTGAAGGAAAATGGATAAAAGAAATTCATCTGGAAACCACAAGGGCCTACCAGATTAGTTAGCCAAGCAACTATTTCTGCCACTGGGATCACAGAGTCCTGAGTGTACCTGGCCAGTAGGACTCTATATTTGCTAATGTACCAAAAATGGTCATATCTTACCTATTACTGAATGAGATTTCTAAGTTTGTATTACCTTATTTCTTTCTCTCATCACAATAATACTTTGGGAATTTGGAGGAAGAGGACTTTAATTTGTAAGACCTAGCATCACAAAGATCCAAACCTGGATCTGATGGAGAGACTACCCAGAGATCATGGACTTCAGGCTAACTGCAGAAACTGGGTAAAATTTTGAGATTGCCTACTTTGGAAGGAAGAAGATGAATTCCTTTTATTTAAACATAGAGATAGAAAGATTGTATATACATGTTGAATAGTCAAAGAGGTAGAAGGTGGCCAGATGCCATAAATATGTTCACTCAATAAACTTTCAACCCCTCCTTTTCTTTTTCTACTTTGATGCAAATACCTCGGCCTCCCTAGTAACTAGAGATGACCCTTGACATAGTTCTTCTAATCCAATATAAGCCTAAGTCTTCTGGTCTTCTTTTATTATTATGGAATGTGGATATGGAAGAGATTTCACTAAAAATGCTAAACAGAAAAATGGATAAGTTTTGTTCTTTGATGGAATAATTCACTTACTGTACTAGCCCTCAAATGCCAATGCATGGAATTCTTACTGAATGAAATAAACCACTTTTTACTAAGCTACAATTGTGGTTTAATGTGAAAGTGAATGAAATCCTAATCAAATTAAGTAGGAAAATAATTTAAAAAACTATAAAGTTCCTTTTGCTTGATTGCAAAGGATATAATTCAAAACATTTACTTTTATACTTACTATGTTTAATGCCATTTCTTAACAAATTAACATTTTTCACAAACTCTGATTTTTATGAAAATACAAAGTTTTGCATTTCAGATGGGAAATGGCAGGCTCACATAAAAAAATCAAAATTTGACAGCAAGAGAATTATCTTTCCAAACAAGAAAAAAGTCTGTCACATATAATAGAAAAAAACATAGTTCCATTAAATCTTTCTCTATTAGGCCATATCCAACATGATTATTTAGGTAACCAAGACTTCTAGTTTAGTTTACCAGTGGTGAATTTGGCTTTTTTTTTTTTATCAGCAGAGATAAGATATTTTACTGCACAAACACTTGATATTTAAAATGAGTATTGTTAGAGTCATTTGCTTTGTAGTTTTCCTTTAACTAAAAATAATTCCCTTCTTAAAAAGTGGTTCATATGTCTAATTTTATGGTTTTCCATTGTTAAAGACTGATTTTTTTTCCATTGGAAAAAGATATTTTATTTATTCTCAAATTGAATGAAAATATTTCCACCTCTGGACTCAGGATTTTTGTATGTCTGTGTTTTGTTTTTAATTCATCGGTACCAAATCTCTGTAGAGCCAATCATTATTTCGCCAATTTTTTGGCAGACATCCAAATGACTAATTTCTTTATAATTATTCATTTCAACTTTCTAAATGGTCTCAGTGCAAATATGTTTAGATGTAGAGTTTCTTGGAGATGGCCCAAAATCCATCTCCAATGATTAAAGCAAAACAAAAAACAAAAACAAAATCCATTCTTTACTCAAGTTATCAGAATTTAACCTATTTTGAGAAAAGTTGTTTTACCTAGAGAGATGCCCATGAATATCACAAAGTCAATAAAGCCTGAATTCTATGGAAAGAAATATGCCCTTGCTCAAGTAATCATACTCTGATGGGAAGTCATTACTAATGTAGTTTATTAGCAAATAGTTGTTAAAAAAAATAGAAACCGTACCTATAGTGGCACTAGATCTAATGAAGCAAGTAAATACATCTGATTAGCAATTATATCAGAAAAAAAGCCAATATGTAGTGATGTTGCATTAAAAATCATGTCGATTAAATTTATATATAATTACAGCCACACATTGTGAGTGTGGTGAGATTTCTATAATATTTTAAATGACAGTGTATTGGATTTGGTTAACAGAACCATTTGGTTAACAAACATTAATAAGATAGATTAAACATATATGAATAAGTGTGTGTGGGGGGGTGTGTGCGTGTGTATGCACTAAAACAAGCTATAAGGGTATATATAAAAATGTATACATCAAAAATAATTAAAAATTTATATTTTATTCTTCATATTTATCTGTTACAGTCAACAAAAATGCACTTTAAAATGTCTAGTATTTGTAAATAATCCCACTTCAACTCAGGCTGGAAGGCAGAACACTGGCTGAGAAAATCATCAGCCAGAAACCAGCAAGAGCCATCCTGAGGCAAAGCAGCAGCAGCCTTTTAAATAGTAATTAAATTCTCTAGTTACAGCTTAATTCCTTAAACCCTGACCCACCAAATGGAAAGACACTCAGTGTTCACATTTCCTTTCAGTGATTTTTCATGAATTATGTAACCCACTTTCATCGCAATATTGATGTCTCATTTGTTACTGAATGAAGATCCCAACCCTATTACCTCTGAAGGGTATTACAGCAGATGAACAAACTCAGGGACAGGGCATAGTGACTTTTCCCACTTGCATTTATTAAGGAGAAGTTACAGGTATCAGGATCAATAACAGCCCCCAATATTTTACTTTGAAGTTTTCTTGAGGTTTTTCTTTGTAGTAATTGAGCATTGTAGATCCATTCTATAAATTAATGACAAAGACGACGGTAAAACTAAGAACAAGAAATTAATTATACTATTAGTGGCACTTCTGAAAAAGGACGGGAGGGATTCATGCACTGGCACTTAACGGTTGGCTGAAAGAAGCCTTTGAAGCGTCATAGATCACAGAACCAAAGGGAAAGTATTACCTAGTAAGATATACCCATTTGCCTGCCCCACCTTTGAGCCTCACAATTAGACCATAAATACCTCAAAGTCTTGTATTCTAATTTTATATCTAGTATTTTCTCCACAGATACTGTTATAGAATAAAATTATTTTGATAGCTATCTTAAAAATTATTAAATACTATTAAAATATTAGCACTGATTAATCAAAATTAATTATACTAAGATAATAAAAGTAAGGCATCACTAAGTGGCTCAGTTGGTTAAGCATCCCAGTCTTGATGCTCAGGTCATGACCTCACAGTTTGTGGGTCCGAGCTGAGCCCTACACCTGGCTCTGCTCTGAAAGTGTGGAGCCTGTTTGGGATTCTCTCTCCCTTTCTCTCTCTGTGTCCCCTTCTTTCTCTCTCTAAAAATGAATAAATAAGTAGACTAATAAAATAATTTAAACAAAAGGATAATAAAGGCAAAACAAAAAACTTTAGACAAATATGTTAGTGTCCATTGTGCTGTGATGAGAAACCACTTAGAAAGACAGAGATCAGGGGCGCCTGGGTGGCTTAGTCGGTTAAGCGTTCGACTTTCGCTTAGGTCATGATCTCGCGGTTCGTGGGTTCGAGCCCCGCGTCGGGCCCTGTGCTAACTGCCAGCTCGGAGCCTGGAGCCTGTTTCAGTCTGTGACTCCCTCTCTCTCTGACCCACCCCTGCTCACGCTGTCTCTCTCTCTCTCCTAGAAATAAATAAAACATTAAAAAAATTAAAAAAAAAAAAAGAGATCAGAAAACAGAAAGATCTATATGATATCATGCATATGTGGAGACTAAAAATACAAAACAGTAAAAACAAAGAGGAAAATGGTAATTTTCAGGGGCTGGGGTTGGGAGAATACGAGAGGTTTTGTTAAAAGGTACAAACTTATAACTAGTAGATAAATGAGTCCTGGAGAGCTAATGCATAGTAGAGTGAATACAGAAAACATTACAATCATCAAATGTGCTGAGAGACTGGATCATAATTATTCCCACCACACACACACACACACAAAAGAAATAACCATGTGATATGACAGAGGCACTATCACTACATTAGTATTATTACAATATACAGATGTATGAAATTAAGGTATTATACACCTTAAATTCACACAATTTTTTTTAAATGTCTTTAAATATAAGCTGGTTAACATACAATAGTGCTGGTTTCAGGAGTAGAACCCAGTGACTCATAACTTATATGCAACACCCAGAAGTCATCCCTAAGCACTCTCCTTTATCTCCATTACCCATTTAGCCCATTACCACCCAACACCCCTCCAGCAACCCTGTTTGTTCTCTGTATTTAAGAGTCTCTTATGGCTTGCCTCCCTCCCTGTTTTATCTTATTTTTCCATCCCTTCCACTATGTTCATCTGTTGTGTTTCTTCAAGCCCACATATGAGTGAAATCATTTAATATTTGTATTTCTCTTCTGGCCTTATTTTGCTTAGCATAAAACACGTAAGTTCCATTCACATTGATGCAAATAGCAAGATTTCATTCTTTTTTTATCCCAAACCAGATAAAAACCCTACTAAAAAGGAGAATTACAGGCCAATATCCCTGATGAACCTGGATGCAAAACTTCTCAACAAGATACTAGCAAATCACATTCAACTGTACGTTAAAAGAATTATACACTGTGATCAAGTGGGATTTATTCCTGGGCTGCAGGTCTGGTTCAATATTCTCAAATCCATCAGTGAGATACACCACATTAATGAAAGAAAGGAAAAGAACCATATGATCCTTTCAACAGGTGCAGAAAAAGCACTTAACAGAATACAGCATCCTTTCTTGATAAAAAACCTCAAGACAGGAGGGATAGAAGGAACATACCTCAACATCATAAATTCAACCAGTGTTATTTCTCAAATATATTTCAAATAAAAATAGCAGGCAGAAAACAAGAGGCCCAAAAAGCACACTCAAAAATAGGAGAAATGTTTATGTGCATACGAGTGTGT